AGAATGACTCACTGGCTCCACACAAGCATTTTCTGCCTATGCAGTTAATGAACTCTGTGAACTGCAGTGGAGGCTCTTTGTCCCAGCTCCTGCCATATGGAAGAGTCATGTCAAAAGGTCTGAAAAGAGCTGCAGGAGCTGGTGACATCTGCAAATAAGGAGGCAGAACTGACACTGAGCACATTCATGAGCCAGCAGGTACAGTGACGATTAATTAGGCTGAACCTAACTAGCCCCGGCGAGAATAGAACAGATCTCTGCGAAAGGTTATTGGAGGTATGAAGGTACACAGTGATAGCCTAGGAAGTGCATTCAGCAAGCAGAGAGAAGTTAGAGAAAAGCAGAGGAGAGTACATTGGATCATCTGTTATTGTAAGAGGAGTGTATCTTATACTTTTTCGGTTCTGGTACTTGAGGTGCACTCTAATGTATTTTTGTTTAAGGCAATAATACTCTGAGAATCAGCTTTCAATGTACAATTATGTATTTGCAAGTGAAAAAAAAAGCCAATACCTTTATCTTATAAAGGGATATCAAAAGTAAGATGCTTGTTTTAACAGCATATTTATCATTATTTTGAAAAGTCAAGCCTGTGTATTAGCTTCCAACAGAAGCAGATAGGATTATTTATTAAATCAATATTGTGTAACCATTACAGTTTTCCAAAGAATCACAAGAATAAATGATTTCTTAGTAAAGTGCTAAGCACAAAGTAGGGGTTATATATTTTCGAAGTGGCAAGTAGTGAGAAATTGTATTATATAACTTTACCTATTTAACTTTCTACTTAAAAGATATCAGGCTAAGGCCCCAGTGTATCTGCAATTTTAAATCTACTTTGTCTGTTATTTAAGCATGTCTGATAGAATAATAAGAGTCCTGTGCATGCAGAGGGATCATATATTTCTCCCTTAATGTACTTCTAGATGAGTTTCAGTAAATATACTAAGGTTTTTAGTAACTAAATTGATTTTTTTTTAAGTTGAAAGCCATCATAGTATGGCATCAAATATGACTGAATTTTTTTTATACCTGATAATTATTACTAAAATGCTGAAAAGTCTGCTTTAAGTAGAATTTCTGTTGAAAAAATTGTGTATAAATTAAAATGCATAGTAGGAAACATTGTTTTTCAATGGAGAGTTGGTATTTTGTTAGCCTTTTATTTTGTAGGCATTTAATACAGTCTCGTTTTTTGTTGCAAAGAAGGATTCGAGTGAGACCCACGTATTTACTCAATAGTTGTTTAAAATCACATACCACAGATTAGAATCTGATTCAGTTACCTTCTCTGTGACCTTGGACAAGTTTCCTGCTTTCTCTGAGCCTTGGAATTTTGTTTTGTTGTGTGTATGTACTCCCTGTAGAATAAGAATAATAATGGTAACTATTTTGTAGAGTTGTTGTAGGGATAAGTCAATTTATATAAAATACTTATACCAGTGTTTGGCACATAACAAGCAATCAGTGAATATGTGTTAGTTCTTATTACGGTGATATTGTTGTGATTAACCTAAAGCAAGGCTCCATATGTCAGTGATTTCCTGACCTCAACCACAAAATCCCTAGTAACTTTTCACAAACCTATATGTGAGTGATTAAACTGTGTCAGCAAGCTTACTTTTGCTTATCTTCGTGTTGGCTTGGGCAAGGTCAGGGACCTCACGTTAGAAGACCATCTGTGTGAAAGGAACATAGCTTTTGCTAATAACTGCTGGCATCCCCTTGGATTTTACAGATATGACCAAGATACCCACAATTTGCCATGTTCAGCTAAAGCATGATTTACAGTCAGCAAAATAGTGTCTCTCATAAGCTCCCTCTCTGAGATCCCGTAGGATGTGGAAGACCTCAGGGGTGACTTCATTGTGTAGCAATAATAGACAGTGTGACCTGGTGGCTGAGGAATTCTCTGACTCATAAACGATGTATTATCATGGCACACATTCTGCTGGGTTGTTTTCTTTAAAGATTTTTGTCAGAACTAGAATCAGAACTTAGAAGAGAGTCAAGTCAAAAAGATACGTCACTACTATTAGACTAAAGCTGGGAGCTTGACAAGAACAGACTGCTAGTAATAACATGAAAGTATCTCAGATGCATTTTGGTAAGTGAAAGAAGCAAGACTCGAAGGGCACAAACTGTGATTCCGTTTACACGACATCCTCTGCAACAGGACAGAACAGGACCTGGTGCTGAGACAGGAGTATGGCTGACCACAGAGAGACCTAAGAAACGTTTCGATGGAAATGTTCTGTATCTTGATTGTGGTGGTCGTGGTGGTGGTGGTGGGTGACATGATTACAATAAGCATTTGTTGGAACTCCTAAAACCATACACCAAAAAGGTGAATTTTACTATTGTTTGTAAATTACATCTCAATAAATCTGGCTTTAAAAACCAAAACAAAACACCAATAGCTTGTCATGTTGATGCAGATCAGTATTTCCTGTGAGGATGTAGAGTAAAATATTTCTTTAACTTCCTCTGAAATGCTGAAAGATTTCTTATGTATTTACTGTGTATTTGTGTTCACTTATTACAAGTTTGAAAGTCACATTAAGTTCATTAAATAATTTACTTTCCCCTCTGTAAGTAGTAATTGTTTAAAAATTACTGGAAGTGTTTCAATTTCATGGTCAATACTGCATCTGTTTCGTAGTATTTGTTTTCTGTATTAATCAGGATACTACAAATAGCATCCATAATACTCAACCTGGCTTACACAATAAGGAGTTTTATTGGCTTTATCTCTGATTATGGGAATTTGCTGACTGCATAGTTCTTATTTCAGTATTTCAGTACTATTGAAACAGTATTATGTTACTCTACCTAAAGATTTTACATAAAAATACCTCATTTCAGTGCTGCTGTAAGAAGCAACTTGGTAATTTTCCACATTAAGATGGATATTGCATATCAAACATAAAAGAGAGGTCATACTCGTATATGTTCAACAAAGTGCAGCAGTCATAGAGCTTAATAGCATTTTATACACAGTTTAAAATGTAGCATTTACCCAAATTAAACACTGCTTTTAAATTGGGTTGGTTTTCTTTGGTACTAGAGTTTTTATTAAACCCTTAATATATAGTTCATACTCTCCTAGAGTGAAAATGGTATTTCAGCAAAGTGAGTAGGTAGATATTTCTAAATAAAAAGATGCTTAGGTATAAAATGTAAAAGGCATTCTAATAGGACCGAGCCCCAGCATGCTGCGTAGTTGAAGAAGGCCCCATACACAAGGCGTGGAAATCCAGTGGGTCCTCAAAAGGAAAATAAGCCTTAAACACCTAGAGAGATACAGCAAGAGCATATGCCAGGCAGAGAGGATAAAAGAAAGGTTTGGGGATGGCAGGGCACCTGTTTCGACAAAGGTGAATAGATTCATGTATCTGGAACAAAGGGTACCTGTAAAAATACAATGAGAAAGTTGGAGGAAGTGATGAGGTTTGAGCAGCCCTGAAATGAATGGTCCACACAATCTGGATTTTATCCTTTCAGTGAGAGGAGGGAGATTGAAGGCTTTTCTTTCTATGGAATGTAGGATTATCTGGGCAAAGCAGAGTTTTAGAAAGATTCTGCATATAGCAGTATACAAGGTGGGTTAGAGCTTTAAAATACATATATATATATATATATATATATATATATATATGTATGTATATATGGAATCAGAGCATTTGGCAACTTGATGATACGAGCAAAACAGGGTGGCACTGATGAAAACTTAAAAGGACTGATGCTAATAAAGACATATCATGAGTAGGAGTTGGCAGCTGACTGGATTTGGTGGTAGGGAACTAAATTTAAAGTAGTTCAAAATGCCAAAGACAGATACCTAGAAAGGGATAGAACCATTTCCAGGTTGGTAAAGTTTGGGGATGGCGGTAGGATAGAGGTTTTCCACAAAAGATGGATTTGGTCTTCTTACACTGACACCATGTCAAAGTGGTAATAAATGTCCAACAATAGTTAGGTATGTGAGATTGTTATTTATTCATTCAGGAATATTTAATTGAGTGCCAATGTTTTATTGAAGCATTGTAGTAGACACAGGAGATAGAACAGTCACAAGGAAAAATGTTCCCATCCTCATGGAACTAAAGGTTCTACAAATATATTAGGGTTAAGTAAATATAAACTGAATAATAAAGTGTGGATTTAATTAAAAATAGTATGGGTAGAAGGAGGTAGGTGGGAGAATAGGTGAAACAAGATTAACAATGAATTGAGAATTGTTGGAGCTTAGCGATGGACACATGAGGGTTCATTTTACTCTTTTCCCTACTTTTATATACCGGGGGTGCCTCCAGAGGTGCCAAAAAAAATGTATACAAGTGGACACTTTGGTCAACATTGCTGAAGCAGTAGTTCGCCATAATCAGAAGTGTCTGGAGCCAATGGGAACCACTTTCAGCACCTCTTGTAATTGCAGAAGTCAAATCTGACTTGTATTCATCTTTTGTTATATACTGAGTATTACCATTTTAATGGGTTTTTCCTTTCTTAAAATGTGTATGCATTTTTTTGGCACCCTCTGTATGATTGAAATTTTTCTCAATGAAATGTTGTTTTGCAACAGCCTAAAGTTCTGTGCATAGAGCTAATAAGTAGAGAAGATGTCTGAGAGAGGAATGAAATCGTGTCTGAAGAGTAGCCGAAGAGATGTAGGGGGAAAAATGAAGAAAGTATAGTGTCTGAGAAGTGGAAAAGATAAAAAAGTTTTCAAGGAAAAGATGGATAATAGTGATAACTGCTACAGATGTCAAAAAAGAAGTGATAATTTAAAAAAATTGTCACAGGTTGTATCTAGCAAATTGCTCATTTCTTATGTTGTTCATTTCTGTTTGGATGTTCCCTAATGACTGGAAAGAACCGGGTACCTGAGAAGCTTGAGAAAACTGTTTTTATCAAACCATTTGATAAAATGTTTATTACTAAAGAAATATTGTCGAAGCTTTATTTCCTAATATGTGAATATCTATTCTATTTTTTAGGAGACAGATGAGCAAAAGCTTCACAAAATAGCCAATGAACTTTTACTTACAGAAAGAGCTTATGTCAACCGACTGGACCTCTTAGATCAGGTAATACTTTCCCTGTCATAATTATTTTATTTTTTGGTACTGTACACATTATTTTAACTTAGTAATTAAAGTCTTTTAGAAACTACAAGACGGTCCTGACTATTTTTGGCCAGTGAAAGGAAATTGTTAACATTTTCAGCTTTAACAGTGAATTTACTAGGGTGTAAAGGTTTTATATGTCATAAAGAACTGATTGAAGGACTCGCTGTACAAGTCACAAGTGCCTTTATCTATGTCTTTCAACCCTAACCACTAGTCTGTTTGGTAACCATTTATTGTGATTCTGGGTACCACGTTACTGTTATAATCTGAATAAGAGGTTGGTGATTCTAATGCTGATGTGAGTATCACTGATTCTGTTTGGCTCCTCTGCTGTTCTGTAAGGCTTTATGTGAACGATCCGAGTTGCTGCAGTCATAGGGCCAGAAGGGATTTTGAGAGTACACTGGTTCAGTCTTGTATGAAACATTTAATACAGTGCCTGGTGTAAAGTTGCTCAAGCAGTGTTTGTTGAATATGTGAATCTACTTTATCACATTTTGTACTTGCATCATAGTGGAGCCTTGAGTATCATTTCAAATGTGCATTTGCAAAGGAAGTTTTGAAATGCATCATAAGAATAACTTGCAAAAAAACGAAGGCCTCTTAATCCCGTTTCAGTGATAAAGAACAAAACAGTTGGTAGATTGTCTGCTAAAACACACTGCTCTTATTAGAAGAGAAAGTTGCCCATCAATTTATGTTGAGTTTGCACATTTAAAACAACTTTTCTCCTCATGGGGATCACAGGACTAAAACTTTTAGGTATTCTCATAGTGGAGATGTGTCTTTTCCTTTTATCGAACTATGTTTTCTTTTTTTTTTTTTTTTCAGCCACACTAGCTTGTTCAGCTATTGTTGCTGACCTTTTAGAATTTTAGAGTCTTAATTACTGCAATATCTTACCTATTGGAGTCTCTAAGGACATAATTTTGTATTCTTCTTGCCTCCCAAGAAAATGCAGTGGAGGTGAGTTTAGAAAATTAACAACCATCTGGACACTATGAAGGAACAGATCTCCTCCTGCCTGCATTTAACAGAATGGCAAGAGGTATAGTAGCCTGAGTGGAGCATAGCTAAGACTGCAAAATTTTTTAAAATTATTTTTAAGATACCTGTTATTATTGATAGGAAAAGATCTTTTTATCCTCCTATCAGTGTTTTAAGTTCTGCATTAGTATTTTTTACTAAAAAACAAGAAAACATCTGAGAACTGAAATATTCTTTTGTTCCTCCATTGACCAGATGTTTATTAAGCACCTACCTGTTCTACATGGAGGAATAAGTCATGATGTCCTCTCCCCTTAAGGAGTGTACAGTTTTAATGGGGAAAATGAGATTCATGCCAAAAAATGATAATAAAGGCAATATGTAATAAGTGCCATAGAAGTCATTCAAAACATAAACAGGAGTGGACAATAGCACAGTTATTACGTGTATATAAAGTTTTTTATATTTCTTAACTCTACCTTTGGATAGAAAGCGTAAATCCTGTTAACCTCAACTGGAAACTCTATAGAAAAGATTAACATCCCACAGAAAGAGGCATAACCTACAATAGGTTCGAGTCAAAGTTTCCTAATTCTAATTCCTGGTTTTTCTCAATCAAAGCACATACTCACTCCCACATTTCAAAAATGACTGATTTCTTGAACCATGAACTTTTTCATTTATTCAACAAAGAGTTGGGCTGGCTGAGTGGTGCATTGGTAAAGAATTGGCTTGGGATGCCAGCTCTGAGCAGCAGGGCCCCAGTTCAGATCCCACATGAGAGCCAGTGACGCTGTGCCCTCTACAGCTAAGATTGTGAACAACAGCTCAACCTGGAGCTGGGCTGCTGTGAGTTGGCGTAGGCTGCAGCGGGCTGCTGTGAGCTACCTTGAGTGGCTGGCAGCCAGCGTGAGCTGCCATGAGTGGCTGTCCAATGGCTGGTGAGTGACTGCCTCACCCAGGAAGAGCACAATGATAATACCAACATGGGCCAGTGAAGCAACTTCCTCCACAACTAGAATGAAGAACAAAAGGACAGCAACTTGTTGGTTCCCCTCCCCAATTTTCCAATGCTGTTTGCCTCCCCTAATTCCCCAATAAAATAAAAACAAAAAAAAACCCAAAGAGTTATTAAGAACCCAGTATTTGCATAGTGCTGGGTGGTTAACCAATAAATTCGAAGTAATGTTTGCTTTGTTGTCTTATTCAGGTATTTTATTGCAAACTATTGGAAGAAGCAAATCGAGGCTCATTTCCAGCAGAGATGGTGAATAAAATCTTTTCTAATATTTCATCAATAAATGCCTTCCATAGTAAATTCCTATTGCCAGAACTGGAGAAACGAATGCAAGAATGGTAAGAGGAGTAGATAGCAAATGATATGTCTTACAGTAGTCATATTTGATGCTTTATTCAGCTTTTAAATTGAAATACTAATGCAGCACAGAGCTGTAGCCAATCAGTTGTACTAAATTTTTATGTTAAAGACCACTAATAGGAGTTGTGGTACCTTTTCAGCTTACTAAAGGATTTCATCTCTGCTCTCCAAACTACCTTTTGACTAGTGGAGATAAGATACCAGGGGTAACCTGGAGCTTCAAGAACTCCATAGCATTTCTCCTTATTATGTCATTTCTAAATGTCCTTTAGTTCTCTACCTTCCTTCATTCTCTACAAATCTCACAGCAAAATGGATCTGATAAAGCACAGGGTGTGTGTAGAGAAGTGATTACTTCATTTGAAGTCTTGTGAATCTGCTCATTCTATAAGAAATATTAATGACTTGTTTTTATATTTTATACAGGGAAACTACCCCTAGAATTGGTGACATCCTTCAGAAGTTAGCGCCATTCCTTAAGATGTATGGGGAATATGTGAAGGGATTTGATAATGCAATGGAATTGGTTAAAAACATGACAGAACGTATTCCCCAGTTCAAATCAGTAGTTGAAGAAATTCAGGTAATAGGACTTTTTTGTTTGAGGCTATAAATTAGATTTTCTGTACAAATCACACAGTCTTGTACATCTAAAATTTAGATTGAGAAATCTGAGACACCTAGCCAAATTCCATTCTACTCTGAATTATGCAAAAAAACATGTCTTTAAAGTTAAAATATGATTGAGCATATGCCATGTACTGAGCAGTGAATTCTGCACTTGCTTTTGAGCCCAGGAGAGTCTGGTTTTATCAGGGTCCACATCAATGTACAAACTGAATTCCCATTCACTTCTATGCCTCTTGCTTTCTTTCAGAGGTTGAGATGTTGGAATGAATATAAATGAATATAAAGAATGATTGCCTATAAATCCTGACATTTTGGAAACATAATTATTCCAGGGCTTTTTGTCACTTTATATATGTGTCCTGATTTTTTTTTTTTAACTTCATCACACCTGGGTAGTACATTTTATTATAATAATACTATAGGAATTGCTATTTGCTTCTCTACTCAGAATTTTTAATAACTACCCCTTGTTAAAGTTTAGATATTGAAGGGGGAGGGGGAGAGTGGGGCGGCTGATTGGGGGAGGGGTGTTGTCACTTTGAGGGGTAAAAAGTATAACTATTGCACGTGTTGTACACCTGAAACTAATAAAAAAGAAAGACACATTTATCACATAATCACAGACATGTATAACACTAACTTTGATAAATGTTATAAAGGAAAAAGGAATGCAAAGATCTATGAGAGAATGGAATTCTGGGAGTGAGGGTAGTACTGTACTGGAAAAAATGTGAACCATGTTCTGATGAAGGCTGAACAATCCTCAGTGGGTACACTATTTAAGACCCCTGGGGAGAAAAAAAAAGTCTAGATATTGAAAAGGAATTCTTTAGATCACATAAGATTCTTGGGGTGGGATACTATTGTTCCTTGACTGCTGCCTTATGTGTTCCCTCATTCTTTATATTTGCTTTGTGAGATAATATATACAGGGTACTTAGCATGCATGGAGCTTGTTGGATATTTCACTACATGATTGTGGTGACGGTGGTCATTATTGTTTTATCAAACCTTAAAATTTTATCTCTGCAATGTCTGTCTTCTCCACATTATGAGGAAATAATGGGGCTGTGAAATGAGTCGTGGATTGAGAATCAACCAACCTAGTTTAGAATCCTCGTCTTCTGCTTAGAGTTACTTGACCTTGGAAAACTCTCCTAACTTCTCTGAGCCACAATTTCTTCATGTACAATTTTTGGGATCAGTAACACATACATACAGTGTAACATATCAGTATATACATACATACATGCCTATACACATAAAAGTTTGTTAGAGAAAATCAAATGAGGTAGCTAACCTTTAACATTTATAGTATTTTACAGTTTATTAAGGAAAGCCATTAACCCTCGGCTTCCATGCTAATTTCAGGCCCTTTCTACTTTTCCTGATCTACAATAATAATTTCCAAACTAGTTTCCCCGCATCTTCCTAAAGCCATATTGTAGTAGGTTGATTTTCATAGATCTCAGATCTAATGATATCAGTCCCCTGCAGGAATACCTTCATTAGATGAAGCAAGTGTAAACCCAGCTTGACATTATTACCCCAGATTACCATTTCTTTGTCATCACATTTCCCTATATGTACATTATTTGCAAACAAAACTCAATTGTTCCCTTTTACTGAGCATGTTTCATGCCCCCACTGTCTTGGACCTGTTCTCCAAGGTCCCTCTTTCTGCACTTGCCTCCTGGTCTTCCTCACTTTCCTTCCCACCACAGCCTGCCCTCGTCCAAGTTCATGTTAAATGCTCCCTTCTCTATGATGTCTTTAGATTCTTGTTTGCTTTAAATGCAAACATCATGTCTTAATACAATGTTTATACACTGCAGTGCCTTGACCATGGTATGAGTTCAATAAATATTTTAATGAGATTCACGCTTTGTTTCATATGAAAAGAACACATCTTATTTTTAAGTAACTTTTTCCCTCTCTTATGTTAACAGTTTATTGAAAGTAAGTGTGGTAGTCTCAATTTGGCCATAAGAAAAGTAGCTCTATTTACAGAGTTTGGTTTCTAATGGAAAAGAATTTCATGACCTAATGAACAATTAAAATTCCCTGACAGATAATAAAATGCTCAGATCTTGTCATTCTTCTTTGTAGTCTTTTTTGAAGCTCATAGGAAATGACATTTGTGGTAGACTTATTATGAAATGGTTTCTGCTGAATCCAAAGTCATTTAATACCTTTGTGCTTAGTGAAGCTCATTAAATAGATGAGTTTTGGTTTTTTTTAATCTCTGGAGTATGATTTAATAATGTGACCTCACAAATTATTTTAGTGACTAACTGAAGTGGCTGACAGAAATCGAATTTTCTTGCTTAAAATTCTGCTTGATTTTCCTTTCTGTTCTTATACTAAATTGGTGGTCCTCAAACTTTAATGAAAGAATCCAGGGTATTGTTAAATGCATATCTCCAGGCCCTAGGCTCAAAGATTGTGGTTTCATAGACTGGGATGGGGTTCAAATTTTCCATTTTTTAATAGCATCCCAGATATACCTAATGTAGGTGATGCACAGAACAACCTTTATAGGGAGGTACTGCCCTTGGTGAAAGTTCCGTATTAAAGTGAGTTTTTAAACAGACAAAGACAGTACAAAAAAGGAAAACTACAGGCCGATATCTCTGATGAACATAGATGCAAAAATCCTCAACAAAATCTTAGCAAACAGAATTCAG